ACCCACAAACTGTTCTTCTCAGTGTATAATCTATAAAAAAATACACCTTTTCCCACTTATTTAATGTGTTCTTGCCATACGATGTTACAATGACATAATTTCAATATACGTTCAGTCCCTTTATTCGTACCATAGATATAAATAAAGCCTTTATTTATATCTATGCTCGGCGGACCAAGGGCCACTCCTAATTAATTCATAATCGCTCCAAATTTTTTGAAAATGAAAAGAACCAAAAAATTTACCGCCATTTCGTGAATACTTTCTGAATTATAACACTATCTAAATAAAATTAATAATTTCATTTTTAAAATGTAATCACTCGCCCCACATTTTATTTTAAAAAATGCAATCATTTTTGCAACTGAGGTATTAAAAAAACTGTCTCTAGCTACAGGCAAGGACGTATAACTAAAGTCCTTGCTACAGGCAAAAAATTGAATATTTGCCATTCTCTTAACAAATTTCAGCTATCGATTGCTAAATAAAATTGAGAATGGAAATGGGGAATGTGTCAAAGAGACAACAACCCGACGGCCATAGAGCAGACAACAGCCGAAGGCCACCAATGGGTCTTCAACACAGCGAGAAAATCCCGCACCCGGAGGCGTCCTTCAGCTGGCCCCTAAACAAATATGTATACTAATCAGTGATAATAGACGTCATACTAAACTTCAAATTATACACAAGAAACTAAAATTAAAAATGATACAAGACTAACAATGGTCAGAGGCTCCTGACTTGGGACAGGCGCAAAAATGCGGCGGGGTTAAACATGTTTTTTGAGATCTCAACCCTCCCCCTATACCTCTAGCCAATGTAGAAAACAAACGTACAACAGTACGCACAGTAAAACTCAGATTAAGAGAAGTCCGAGTCCGATGTCAGAATAGGAAACAAAAGAAAATAAACCGTGAAAATGACAATAATACATAAATGGGCGTTTTTCAATAAAAACGTGATTTCTTGTCCCAGCCACTTTTTAAAAAATGTGTTTGATCTTTACAAGTAATTTTTTGTGCAGCCAGTACATTTAATTAGATATAACATTTTTAAGCAAAGAAAAATACTATTTTTTAGAGGGATTAATAAGATATTGATTCCTGAATGGTTCAAAATAATCAAAATGGCATGTCCTTAGACCTCCTAATCAACATTCATACTCTAAAATATTGTAATAAAAGGTAGAAATAAATGTTATTTTTACTTAATATAAGTTCTTTAATTATTCAAAAGTATGTTTAGAGCCAACATATTTTAATAAACAGTTTTTGACAAAGGAATTTTTAATTTTAGAAGGTGTGTCCCTGAGATTCCTGACAAAAAGTCCACTACGAAACGAAGTCATTAAATTTTGCTAATAAACAGTTTTATAAAATTAATGTTTGCAAGATATATAAACATTAGGGTCTTACAATAGAAGTGATGCTTTTACAACGGCAGTTAAATTATTGGCAAAAAAAATTGAGCACATCAAATGGACCAGAGTGATACCGTATTTTTTTTAATGTCCACTACGAAACGTGTCAAATCTCCTTCAGTATCTGGTTTTAAAATTATGACAAAAATATCAGTGTACAGCTTTGTATGTGCTTTGATGAATAGAATCATTTTTGTTACTATTACAATATAGGGATTGTGGGGAAAAAATAAAACATGTGAATATGTCCACTACGTAATGGTCAACTACGAAACAAGTATGAGAGAAAAACGTTTCGTAGTGGACACTACCACTACCATGCAGTCGTTTTTTACTTTTTTTTTCAATTATATTCGTGCAAAACAAATAACAAGGGTTAATTTCATGTAATTTTCAGTATGTTTTTATCAACATAGAATATGGTTGATGTCAACTACGAAACTTTTTGTCCACTACGAAACGGTTTTGTCAACTACGAAACTCATCAAAATGTCCACTTCGTAACATGAGTTGATCCTTCATATGTGAAGTACTGTCTAATCTTTATCGATAGAAAAATGGTTCTCCCATTCAGAAAAAAATGAGATCTTTCTAGTATATAACGTAAAACAAACTGGTTTAAAAGCAGTTTCGTAGTGGACAAATGTCCCCTACGAAACAGTACATAAATTATGAAAAAAATATCATTTTGAAGAGTATTTAAGATTGTACTTTTTATTTACAAACAGGTCTGTAATAGAGGTATTCAAAATAACTCTTGAAATAAAATTTTAGACAAGTTGATTTTCCATTTTTTTTAGGTCTGAAATTCACACTTTTATTGAAAAACGCCCAAATAACAACAGACTACTAGCAGTTACTGACATGCTATATATTTTGAAAAACAATTAAAAATAAAAATTTCGCTTGCTCGTTCCATCTCAAGTTTTAACATAAAAGTCCGAAGAACAAAAATTTAATATGGAGTGGAAGTTTTTATACGCCCGTCAAATTTTTGACGGGACGTATTATGTTATACAAATGTCCGGCGTCCGTCCGTCCGTCTGTCTGTCTGTCCGTCTGTCTGTCCGGCGTAAACATGTCGCACCGTAACTTGAGAATGACTTATCCAAATTTCATGAAACTTAACATAGTTGTTTCTTATGATGGTCAAACGATCTGTATACTTTTTGGTGAAAATAAGATAAAAACTTTTTGAGTTACGGGACTTAGTAACTAAAACAGGTGTGTGTTTTTTTTCACATGTCGCGCCGTATCTCAAAAACAATTTATGATTATTGCTTAAAACTTTACACACTTCTTAGTTATATTAATCTTAAGATCTGTATAATTTTTGGTGATGACTCAAAATTTTATTTTAGAGATATTGAGTATTTTGTTAAAAAAGGGGGAGGGGTTTTTCACATGTCGCGCCGTATCTCAAAAACAGTTTATGATTATTGCTTAAAACTTTACACACTTCTTAGTTATATTAACCTTAAGATCTGTATACTTTTTGGTGATGATTCAAAATTTTATTTTTGAGTTATTGAGCATTTTGTAAAAAAAAAAGGGGGAGGGGTTTTTCACATGTCGCGCCGTATCTCTAAAACGATTTATGATTATTGCTCAAAATTTTACACACTTCTTAGTTATATTAATCTAAAGATCTGTATACTTTTTTGGTTTTGATTCAAAATTTTATTTTAGAGATATTGAGTTTTTTGTAAAAAAAAAAGGGAGTTTTCGCATGTCACGCCGTATGTCAGAAACTATTTATGCTTATTGCATAAAAATTCACACACAAGACGACGGGCGTATCATGCGCTCATGGCGCAGCTGTTTATTGTTTTATGTAATTGACATTTCTCAATGACGATCAGAAACGTGGACAGCTTATGCTTGCAAATGGTGATTGTTTAGTGGTCCCTTAAAACGATAAGAAATCAAAATATATACATGGCAATAGATTTAAATGTTTGTTACATCGAAAGAAATTATCTAAAGCAAAACTAATTCAGCTAGTAAAAGTCCAAAGCATCATATAAAAGGTACCATCTTCACTAGTCAAAGGTTACGATTCGTCCCACTTCATGGTTTAAACTTTACAGTGAAGAGTAAGAGACTGGATCGTAACAATTAGCTAGCGAAGAGGAAAATGTACCGTGGAATTTTAGAAATTTTGTTTCTCCTCTCTTTTTTATTAAAGGTGGGGGTGGGGGCAGAAATATCTACTCACTCACATGTTATTGCATCAAATTAAGTTAAAGACTCTGTTATTTGAAAAAAAATAATGTATTGGATTATTCCTAGATCACGGTAAGTTACTAGACATCTTCGCGGGTGGAGAAGAGGGTGACTGATCGTAACCCTTGGCTAGCCGAAGTTGGTTAACAGGGTGCGAAGGTCTCATACAACCTCCTTGGTTACATAAAGGAAAATATATGGTGCCTGTTTGTCTTTATGAGGTGCCGAACTGTCTAACGGTGCTGATTTGTGTTGGTGCCTAAATGTCTTTCACATGCTGTTGTCGAATATCTTATACGGATTTGTCCTGATGCCGAAGAACTGTGAATTTTTTATCCTGGAAATGTAGAAAGGATGCCGTTAATATCGAGCATGGTGAATTTAAATAGAAGCGAGCGTAGCGATGCGCCAATAATTTTTACGATTGTATGCCCCTCCCCAAAAAAATGTTTCCGATCAAAGGGGGCATACGCATTATACATCCCACTTGAGTCCGATACTTAAGGGAGTACAATAACCCTTAGGGGTTGAATTTATAAACTACATTTATTGTAAGATAGTAAAATAAAAGAAAATAAAAGAAAACAAGTTGAAATATTAAAGCAAATGAAATAAAAATATCTAATACACAAAAAGAGGTAGTCCATTCCCTAAGTTCCTGTGCAAAGCAATTAATTGACCTAGATGACAGGCTATAATATTTGAAATGAGGATTGCAAATTTTTGTGTTTTTTGTTTTGTTTTTTTTTTATTTTGTATTGCCCGACACTACAATTATATTTTTAGAATGGTTTGAAAGTGTGTCGGATAAGGGTTTTTCATTGTTCCAATAAGCCAGTAAATCTTCTATTTGCTTTAAGAGTTTTTAAAAGCATACCATTCTGTTTGAACAGTTTAAAAATAGAATCCATATTCTCAATACCTTGAAAACTTTGGATATTCAAATACAAAACACAAATAATTGTAAAACAAGCGCCCGATATCTTATATTGTTAAACCAAACAATAAAACTATATAAAAACTACGAAAACATGTAAAGTAATAAAAAGGGTAATTATGTTTTTAAGATTATAGAGTGTACGTGTGAGAGGTGGAGTTGAATATAAGTATATTGGGCAAATATGGTAATAAATCATTTCTTCTAAAATCACAGTGCCGTGATTGATAATTATAAGTTGAATATATTAATATTTAATAAAGATATTTTTCTCAAGATATTTCTTATGGAGATTTAATACGATATTTCCATAATCAGTCTATCTAATTAATCACATATTGAACAAACAATATATATACATGATGTGCCTTAAATGGAGCCGGGTGATAGATAACTTACACAGCTGCTTAGCGAACGTGGATCAGATTGCACGGTGCTATCTCGCGCATGAGCAACGGATGTTGATTGCTCTTCCTCGCAAACAAGATAATATTGAAATACCGTCAAATATTTGATCATATCAAAAAGTGGGAATTAAAGTCATATCAAAATGGTAAGTTATATTTCTGTTATTTTTTTGTTTGTTTCCGAAAATTGATAACATCACATATATGTCTATTGACAAATGGCTGTCTAAGCAATACAGAAACATTTTTTTTCACAATAATTTAAGGATGATAAGGGTTATAGATTTGATTATGTGGGTGTTAATGACTGCAGAATAGAAAGTTCATCATCAAGTAGTAGTTACTTAAAACCTTTATGTCCAGGTACACAAATTTCATTCATTTACACAGTCGTGGATAAGTTTTAATTCAAATTGTTTCAGGTTGTTGCTATATAATTTTCAGTTGTCCCTATAATTTCTCCTTTATTGGTATGTTATTAATTTTATTTTTCAGTCAGACTTCAAGGTTACGGAAAAACAGTTTAATGGTAAGTTTTCTTAAATCACCAGACTTCACGTTAACTTATGTCCCCCAATGAATGATGTCCCCTGCGTGCTGAATACCTTTGATGTTCGACCTTGTTGTGGTTATCATGACGATAACGAATATCGAAATTGAGTTTTATAGACTTTTGGTTATTCGTGGAAACAAAAACTGGCGAATCGGCACTTCACACATTCATATTTACTACAAGATAAGCAAACATACGTGTGTTATTCATCTATATTATTGGCATAATGCCAAAAAAAAATGGGTATGTTGCATGAAAATATTCCTGACAAAATTTTTCTCGTATTACTTGTTTCGAGTAAGAAGCTGATTAAACTATCTATTAACAAGAATAAGAAATTTCGTTTATTGAAAGTCAGTATTAATGTTTTTAATTATAAAACATTTATCCGTCTGCAAACGATACATATGTTGCTGCCAAATTTGGGAGGTCACGTGTCAAGACTTGGAATGCGCGTGTTGTAATAATGAATAATAAATTGCAACATGGAACTATTTTTAAACTTTTTTATATGTTTTTGAAGATGATGAAGTGATAAACTTGAAAAAGGATTCACCAAGGACTATCGCATTTATATATATAGTCGCGGAATGTTCTTTTTCATTTAACAGTCTTTCTCGGTGATGAGAAAAATCGCGTAAATTTTCTAATTGTAGTACGTATAGTTGTAAATAAATATATTTATCGATAGAGGCATGCTGTGTGTTTTCTGCATCAGAGATAAGAAGAAACCGAAAAGTAATACACAATATGCACGATAAGCTTCCGTTTGCTGATAAAAACCAGACGTAAACTACTACATGTTTACAGTACCTAATAATGTTTAGATTATTAGCAATTAATGCAGTCGGAGGCCATTAATTATTACTGTACATAATCAATTACACAGTATATAGTTGATTACAGTCGCTGATTTTCTGTATTAGCTAATCCCCAAGTGCGTTAAGATCATAAGGAGCGTATGAGCCGTGGGAGGGAGCAAGTGGGTTGTCCCCCCCCCCCAACTTTTTTGCAAAAAGAAAAATTGACGCATTGTAAATGAAAGAGGACACTGACTAATTTCTAAACTATAATATCGTAGAAAAAATTCGAAGAGTCCTCCATGCTAGTTTAAGTTTTTGTATGTCCATAAAAAAAGACTTTGTGCTGACTCTCGGCCGACTCCAACTTTTCTAATTTATCAAGTTCACCCTACATTAAAACGACACAATCACCATACATACTCATAAACCATATACAACTGAGCAAGCACATCAGCATTTAAAAAAATATTATGAAACAATTGAAAAGGATTATCCTGTATAAGTACACTAATAATACACGAAAGGGTGCGTTTAAACAGGAAAGTGACGAACACGAAATACTCGACTTTATTTATCTAAAAGCATAAAAGCTTTGGAATGTTAACGGAGTTGGAATATTTGGTATTTTCAGAATTTGAATATTATAATACATTTATCGCCTGGTCAGTTTTAAAGATATTGCACATTTGAAATGTTTCAGGTTCAAAATCGTAAATATCCCTTAGATTCATTAAAATCTTAAAATCATATTATAACAACTAACTTGTGCATCCTTGCTCATTAGACCTGTTAAGTTGCAGATGTCTTTGAAAAACGGATAAGATATCGATTTTAATTTTACGGCAAAGTTTGTTAACTTTTTTCATGTTACCAAACTACCCAAGAATTCAAGTCAATCTCCCCTGTCCTCCCCACCAATTTGTTTAATTTATTCGCAAAACAGACTTAGTTTTGCCATTAAAATTAAAAGCGACGTATTAAAATAAAATTTAATGGCTAAAAACTAACCTCTTGACCAGCAATCGCTGCGGTATACAGGCTACGCAATTATGGAATTTATACCGAGATGATGTAATATTACCACGAATGCAGAGATACATAGATAGATATAAAACAGATGTTGAAGTATCATGATCTCTCTATGATAACAAAATATTCATATTTTCTAATCCACCAGACAGGAGAAGCTGTATATAGAAAAGTTCACATTGACAAAATAGATTACAATTTTTATGAATGAATGGGGTATACTAGTATCAATGGTATCATGAAATCGAAAAGAATATGTATTAAACTGATATATACAATTCTTGAAATAATCCCTTATCTTACACAAACTAAAATCTTGTAATTGTAATTTTTCTGTGAGTGTATATACAGCACATATTAAAATATAGAATGGGTGACCTTCAAACCTCTATATATGGGTGACCTTCAAACCTCCATGTACAGTGTATCTACGTATTGCAAAAGCATAAGAGAACCAACTTGGAATGGTATAACACATTTTTTAATGAATAAATGAGTAATAAAAAAGGGTAATTAGCGTCGGTCCGATGAAATTGATGTTGACAACGGAGGAATTCGCTTCCGCAATTCCAGAGAAAAAAATCCTAAACCCCGAACTTTTTAGTGGAAATGAACCTTTTTCTCTACACTGGACAAATGCAAAACTTGCGTGAAATGAACGGCTCAATATCAATTCTTTTATGATAATTGAGTTGAATCTAATGAATCTAAACATGTGTTTAGAGATTATTTTATCAAATTGGTCCACATTGAGGTCCAAAGGGTCCTAAATTAAACTTTTTGTTTGATTTTCATCAAAAATTGAATTCTTGGGGTTCTTTGATATGCTGATTCTAACAATGTACTTAGATTTTGGATATTGGACCATAATAGGTAAATGTCCGATTTCAAATTTTTCAGTTCTTTGACCAGATTCATTTTGTGTCAAAAACCTATGCTATGTCAATTAGCGTCGGTCCGATGAAATTGATGTTGACAACGGAGGAATTCGCTTCCGCAATTCCAGAGAAAAAAATCCTAAACCCCGAACTTTTTAGTGGAAATGAACCTTTTTCTCTACACTGGACAAATGCAAAACTTGCGTGAAATGAACGGCTCAATATCAATTCTTTTATGATAATTACCCTATGTCAAATATTCAATCACAATCCAAATTCAGAGCTGTTTTAAGCTTAAATGTTGTGTCCATACTTGCTCAGCAGTTCAGGGTTCGACCTCTGCAGGAAAATCCGGTTTGCTGTCACTCTTGAAAGCCTCTTGTTTAGCAATAAAATGCAGACAGAGATTTAAACATAACTTTAGAAACAGTTGCATATATTCCCTTACACCGAATATTTCTATTAACTAGCAATAATTGGATTATTCACTCTAATAGACGACACAACACTGTACTGCATCTTGCTGTGGTGTACCGTATTTTGACCATCTGGACAATTCGGCTGTGTAATACAGATTAATGCACCAAGTTACAACAAACAGCAATATCCGGGGTACAAAAATCAAATTGAGTCTCGGAAAATAGCAGGTGAAAATCTTTATTCATAAAAAACATGTGTTATACCAAGCCAAGTTGGTTCTCTCGTGCTTTTGCAGTACATAGATACACTGTACATGGAGCTTGAAAGGTCACCAATACATTGAGGTTTGAAGGTCACCCATTCTATAATTTGAAGTGGTGTTATATATCATTTTGAAAGTTATCCATAACACCTACCGTGAATATGTTACAGAGATTGTTTTTTCTTGTATCAGTTCAAAGCATTAAATAAATATGTTTTTTTGTGTATCATTTCAGATGCTCATAATACATTCAATTTATTCGACAAAAAAGGAAATGGACATGTATCAACAAAAGAATTAGCAAACATCTTTAAAAGTTTAGCTTTACAAATTTCTGCAGACAAATTAAAAGAATGGGCGGATGAAGTTGACGAGGAAGGTATGTATTTATAGTTTAACAAAAAAAAAGGAGCCCAGTATCGCACACCTGGCTCACTGTGTATCATGACTAACTGAAATCTCGAGCTGTCAGATGGTATTACTCAAATTGCAAAATAAATTTCAGATTTCTACTGTTAGAAATGTATATATTTAATATTTAGTTCTCACGTTCCATCATGTTCTCCTTTAGCCTTACTCAGCAAAAAAGTAAAAATAAAAAAAAAAAAACGATAATAAATGTTTTTCTGGAAGGGGCGGTTTACAGAATAGAGAATAATGGGCAAATATTGCAGAATAAGGTGCAAAAAAAAAATAAGCAAAACAAGTAAAGAATGGAGAATAATGGGGTGCTTAATTATAATGAATAGAGAATATTAGACAAAATAAATCAAGAATAATAAAAAAAGGTCTAAAACTTAAAGAATAAAAGAAATGAAGATACAATTGAGAATGGAAATGAGGAATGTGTCAAAGAGACAACAACCCGACCAAAAAAAAAGAAAACAGCCCAAGGCCACCAATGGGTCTTCAACACAGCGAGAAAATCCCGCACCCGAAGGCGGGCTTCAGCTGACCCCTTAACAAAAATGTGTAATAGTTCAGTGAAAATGGACGTCACACTAAAATCCGAAACATATAAATGAACTAAAATTAAAAAAAAACATACAAGACTAACAAAGGCCATAGGCTCCTGACTTGGGACAGGCGCAAAAATGCGGCGGGATTAAACACAGCAATACGAACAGTAAAACTCAGTTTAAAAGAAGTCCGAGTCCGATGACAGAATAGGTAACAGAAGAAGCAAAATGATAATGATACATAAATTAACAAAGGACTACTAGCAGTTACTGACATGCCAGCTCCAGACCTCAATTAAACTGATTGAAAGATTATGTCTTCATCATATGAAAATCAAGCACAATCCCTCCTGTTAGGTGTTTAGTACCATACCATCATAAAATATATAAGAAGAACATAACCCGTATCATGCCAACAACTTGTTTTAGAATAAATGTGTTTCTGATGTAAAGACCCGCTATCCAGACCCTCATTTGTGTATCTGATAATATAAAATGTTTTCTGAAGCGAATGTTCACAATAAAACGATGACATTAATAACTAAGACACATATAACAACTTTTTAAGTAACACCCGAATTTTTATAATTACAGCACTTGGTTATATGGAATGGGAAAATTTTAAAATACTTTTTGAACGTAAATTGAAAGAAGATGAAGATGAACGAGAATTAAGAGATGCCTTCCGAGTATTAGATAAACAAAATAAAGGAACAATTCCAGTTGATGATTTACGGTGGATTTTGAAAAGTTTAGGAGACGATATAACGGAAGAAGAATTAGATGATATGATTGCTGAAACTGATACGGATGGAAGTGGAACAGTTGATTACGAAGGTAAATCTTAATGTAGTCATTCAAAACAAAACAAAATCGAAAAGTGAAAGTTAGAGTTACTATCTATATTTCGAGAAAAAAATTGCCTGAAAGAACAAGCGGCCATTAACCTATATAGGTATTTTGTTATAGTAGTTTTGTATTAGCCTAAATGCTACTGTATGATTAGTACAGACATTTGCGGTGACGAGTCATTTTTTTTATGAATTTTAGTATATTTTTTTTATTTGTATCTTCGATATTAAATAAACATGATTTTCATAGAGGTTCTGGACGGATACAATAGCCTATGATGAAAATATGAATACGTCTTTGTATACATATAATGCTAAATCCAAAACACATAATGACAATGTTGCTTAAACAAAAACACATAATGACAATGTTGCTTAAACAAAAACACATAATAACAATGTGAATAATTTAACATTAATGTATAATATATTTATATACATTAAGGTATAATGCTTAAACATTATGACAATGTGAATACGTTTATACATGATCATATAATTATGAAATCAAAAACATATAACAACAATGTGAATACGTTTATACATATACATATAATGCTAAAACATAAATAAATACGACAATATGAATACGTAATTGCTACATTTATAACACGTAACCCATTATCACATTGTGTTTACACCGAAAACATTAAACTATAATGGCAACATGAATGCATTAAAACATAAAAATAATGACAATATGAATTCACAGGTCAAGTCACTGTATCCCTCCCTTCTTGGCTTATCGAGCAATCTGATTTGCATAATTGACAAAAGCCCTATGTGTTGCTCTTTCTAGAATTTTCAGTAAAGGACAAAACAAGTTTTTTTCGAATATGACCATAGCTGGGAAGGGGCCTTCATGCTTTCCATTGAGAAAAAAAACCAACAAAGAAACCCAATCAACAACAGTTAATACATATTTAATCCTAGCTGTTATGAAGCTGAGGTTTATCCCAGAACCAGAGCAGGAATGACATTTAGTAGTACATTGAACAAACGCGTCAAGTTATACAGAAATTTTGTTATTAAAAATAGACATAATCCATAATTCTTACATTGGTAGATAATTGTTCAAAATCTGCAGGCGTAGGACAGTTTAGAAATCGGAAAACTACCACGTTAATTGCTAGAGTTAACCCGAATTAAATTATTGAATTATACGTACCTACAAAAACACTATCAGTAAACCTCTGGGTGCAAAGGAATTGCTTGCTTGCTTGAAGTAGCCCCAAACTGACCGAACTGCTTCTATCTAGGCTTCAATTGAAGGTTCAAAAATGTACGATGACCTTAATTTTGACAACCATGCAATTGGAATCGACAACATTTTTTCCCGAATAAGAACTAAGATTGACAGATTAGAAACTTCAAGACATACCAAATATAAGTTGTTGTTAGCAAATGGTTCTAGAAGCTGCAGTACAGGAGAATGCTTATAATTGAGTCTCATCCAATCAAAACATTGAACTTTTATTAATGCGGGTAATAAAGCTTTTTTTTTTAGTTCCGGTTCCCGAGAAAATACCTCGTCTGAAACCTGACTTAGTTTTTAATTCCATCAACTTCACATCTTATTCTTTTTGTGCTCTTGCTATGTTAGCAGAAGTAGAAATTATATTTTATTTTATATCCTAGAAGTTCTATAGAGTTTCAGTTTGGTTTGTTTTATAGAACAGTTGTAGTGTTATATAGACAAATGTTATTAGAAATTTGATTTCACAAAGTCAAAGTTCTCTTGGTCTTATTAAGGCTTATTATAGCAAACTCTAAATATAGTATTTAAGAGCCAATGTAAACTTCAAAGATTTTTTTATATTTTTTGGTATTTGAATTTTAAGTAAAAGAGAACCTTGACGTTTTTTATTAGTTCTATTTTCAAACTATAGAATATCTAATTAGAAAATATCACTTTATAATTAGTTGTGCATTTGCATGATTATTTAGTATATTCATTTTTGTTTTTTACAGAATTCAAAAGTCTGATGACCTCTGATTGAATGATTGTCACATGAGGGAGGGTACAAGTTCCGGTTGTTTGCTACACATGCACGCATGCGTGATTCCAACTGGTCGCCATATATCAATATTTCGTAGAAGGAAGTCATCCTGATCAGTAAAAATATCCCACGTCATATTTGAGCAATTGTCAGCTAGAGACACTGCTGCGTGCCCCATCCTCATGTATTTCAAACAATCTACCTTTTGTATGAGAAAAAGTCGATGTTTATATCTTTAAGATGATTGTGTCTTCCCATCATTCCATATTTAACATGCGCACTAACTGCCTGCTTCATTTCTTGCTCTATATGTCTGTTAGAAAGTCTACTATTGCTTTTTGCATTTTAAGCTAACACGTTAATAATTGCTTGACACTGACTAGTGTAATATAAACAAAATACATTAACCTGTATGATACTCGTCGGCAGATTCCGTATCGTAGCAAAACGAATTCAGCCGAGGTTTTCCCGAATAATTATTTCAACACCGCAATACATTGCCAAGCTAGTCTATCAAGCGTTATCTGCAGCTTGTCTTTGGCGCTGCTGAAATATATTATTTCTTCTATTAATTCCAGAGTTTTGTAAACTGATGTTGGGTTGAGCCGGACGATGGAGAAAAAAATCCTTGCAACTTAATTCGACGTTCCATGGAAACGGAATATTTCGAATTGATTTAAATTGGTTCTCTGAGATTGATGTCTATTTTGAAAACATTTAACGTCAATTAGATCAAATTAAATGGGATTGTTTCTTTGCCTTTTCTAAAAAAAAATAAATGAAAATTTGCATATAAATGTTTTGAACATCATGAATGATTTAAATTTAGTTATATACAGAACAATTTACAGGGCAAGGACTTATCTAGAATATTTACTAACACGAAACAAAATTGGTAGACTTAAAATATAGATTTAACAACCGATATATGTATATGAATTAAGAATAGCATAAATAAACATCATTCTCGAAGGCCAGTTTTTTGTAAATGTTTGTTAAAAACGATTAAGTGTGTTTAATTGTTGTTTTATATTAAAATTTATATTACTTGATTGTTTATATATTTTAAAAAAACCCATCTACTTGTACATCAACCATTTTCACTTGTATGTATTAAAAGTCTTCATGTTCCAATAAAAATTGCATTTTGTATATCCATTTTAAGCTGACTTAACCATGTCATTTGATGCTTGGCGTTTAATTATCAGTGATAGAAGTCTTTTTACTTTATAATTGCACCAAATAATTTCAAATCTTAAACACAGAAGGATGCACTTTGCATGAACAATTACTGCAGAAAATTCGCACGAAATCTTTTACTAATGCTTTTTAATATATATGAAAATTACTTCATGTCCGTGTTAGTCTTTCAGGGTCTCTGGAAATCTGGAGAAATATCAGTGCATCTTATTGGTCAAAATATCTTTTTAATTTATAACTTTGACCAATCAAGATGCATTATGAGTTAAATTTTGACTGGTTAAATATTTAACTTGACCATATTTGACCAATCAAAATGCTTGTAATTAGACCTTAGAATTCCAGAGACTCATTGCAGATAATTGGTGATGTTTCTTAACGTAGTTGTTTTTTGTTAATTTGGGAAGACCACAATAAATTCTCAGAGCAAATGTTGTATAACAATGATAATTTATTAAGTGTTCCAAATATATATGTCATGTTCTCCTGTGACATTATAATAAAATTACCATGATGATACTAGTGTTGTCTTTCTATTTGAAGAACATTGCCAAATACGACAGGGAGTATTATGAACAGCATTTTCATGAAATTGGTATATTTGCACATAGCTCAGTTTAATTAGTGGACGAGATACCCGAAATCAATAGGGCAGTTTCTTGTATTTAAACTTAAAATATTACAAAATATATGATGGATCCAATTCATCCTTCGTTTTCGCAATAGATGTAGGAGCCAATCAGAAAGCTAAGAGATGATGGTATAGATTTATTTTGTAACTACCAATTGCTTATATTTCAACCACTGTCAAGACGAGATCATTGTGTGGTATAAATATCAACCATGTTTTGTGCTATAGCTCTAAGGCTCATTTTGAATGTGCTAGCCCAAAGAGTGAGTTGTCAATAAGACGTGTCATTCTAAACAAACATTGTGATTCCGAATCAGTAAATGTTATCTCTCCAAAATGACACGTGCTTGGTATAAAAGCAGCCAAAACCAATTTTAAAGTCTTTGGTTTGATCCCGCAGGGGATTTTTCCTACTCAAGGCTAGCCCTCTACTTTGCGACCACCAAAGGCAGTCTAAAAGCAATGGGCTGCTTTATTGATCTGTGTATTAGTACTCTCTCTTGATAACTGAGTTTCTTGTTCGAATTTTTTTGTTTTGTTTGAGTTTCTCTGGGATTCATTGATCATGCTGATGTACAATAAGCAAAAGCAAAATGAAATTGTAGTTTCGATAGGTATTGAACAGTAATTTCTGCTTTCATGTTTATAGATATGTCATAATATTGGGTTATTAAACACCAATGAAACCGTTCTCAAATACTAGTAAACTTTTTGGAAATGGTTGTATATTTATACATTATGCAAATCAAAACAGACGCTCTCTCAGCACGGGTTTTACTGCAAAATGAATCTAATACAATATCTCAGTCAACGAATCGGGTTTTGATAAAAGGAAACAAATGTGTGGTATATGTCAATGACACAGCAACATAACAATACAATACAAACCTAAATCTTCCAGCTTAAACATTTATTTAATGCTTTTAAATAAGAGAAGTTTACTTTAAAGTTTTTATGTTAGTCCGAGTATTTTTGTTGTTTCTGTTTAAACTTTATATGTGAACTCCTGTCCATGCTTCTACCTGAGTGAAATGGTAAATTACAGCTAGTAATTGATTTTTGATTGATTGATTGGTTATTAAGTTATTTCCTTTTGCCGCAGCAGCGGCGATGATCGATTTTGGAAACTAAAGGATTCTCACAATATTGAAATTGATACACCCTTTTCTGGACAAATAAAGTTAAGATACAGCAATGTCTTCACACAGTGTGAATTTTACGATAAAGCTCTCACTTTCGGAATGATTAAGCTAATAAATTGTACATTGAGACGGTGCTTTTGATCTTGTTGAAATAAAGAAGTCAGAAAAGAAGTTGAATCTTAAAACAATTTAAAAAATTTCCTTCCGATAAATTTAATTATGCTTGAAATCAATTTATACTTGATAGATAAGTTTTTCCAGACAATTAAGTATTTATCATTTAGCATAGCCGATATAGCACTCTGAGAAAACACTGAACAGACCTTAGTTGGCTTCAAGCGAGATGACACTTTCAGATAATCTATCATTTAGCATAGCTAAAATACAGCAACTGAACACTTTGAAAATACACTGCACAGACCTTAGTTGGCTGCAAGCGAGGTGACATTTCAACCAAACGTACTAATTTTATAGAAACGGCTATATCGGAACATTATTTCACTGGTTTCTTAATTTCCTTCATGTATTTTTTTACCACGACTCGGTCTATAGGAGTTTGTTCCGGAGACGTTAGTTACATTTGGCTCTAGAACTAGGCATGAGGCTAAGTGGTGGTATAATGGGTGCGACTTCATATTGGTTGGTGGTTTATTTAGAAAATGGTTTATCAGAGTTGGACTAAGGCATTGCATCTTTAAATTCAACAGATGTAATAGGCTTTAAGTATCAACAGAATAAAAAGAGGTAGAAAATATCAAGGAGACATAAAAAATACCAAATATAAGTGCATGAAGACAACAGACAGTACCTCGGCCCAAAAGAAAAATGACAAAAAAGACCATCAACAGTCCACAATAAACTACACAGAACACTTAAGATTCAACAACAATCACCTATACAAAAAACGGGGTTAAACCAAGATGCTCCGAAGGATTGGCCTTTCTAGCTTCATCAGTTGCACACTTCGGGATTGTGGCTGCGATAAGTCGAACGCACGGTATCCATGATAATATGTGATACAGATAATCCATAAATGTCAAAAAAATCGTTCGTATACTTTCGACGGGATAACTTCAACATGATCATTTGGGACCCTTTGTTAATAGCTTACGTGTTTTTGTTGTTGTCAAAGAAATCATGATAGGACAATTACGCTTCCTGGAATATCGTATCAACCGGGCAATATATATTCCATATGCAAGTGCTGCTTGAATTTTGCTACGCAGAAATAGAAAGATCACAATGGGAAAATTGAAATCCTCTCTTTTGTCGTATATTATTAATAAATAGATGATATATTATAGGGTGCAGGGCAAACTTTTACAAATGACATAGGAACATACGGCTTGCGGTATATGAATGTAATTTCGAGGATTTGTCTCAACATTGGTATTTTTATAAGGCAACTTGTAAAACGTCATTTTTTGGTACTTTTTGAACAAATAATTTAGTTTTCTGTATATATGTTCAGTATAAAACAAGGAGATTTGGCATGATTACCAATGAGGCAAATATCCAACAAACTAGATCAAAGGACGACAAAAAAAAATCACCTTTAACAATGAGCTAAGCCCGTTCTGTATTGTAAGTAAAAAGGACACAGAATAACAAAATGTGAAACGATTCAAAGGAGAAAATCAAAGGCCTAATTTATGCTTAAAACAATAAATGATAAAAAAAAAAACATTTCTTGAAGACAGCAACCAACGACAACCAATGCATTACAGCCTCCTGGTTTGGAACAGGCACCTACAGAATGTTGCGGGGTTTAACATCCCTATAAGCAATCAAACCTCCCCTAACATGACAATGGTGTTATAAGTGACAAAAGACACAAAATACCGATATAAGAGTATTCGCAGTTACTGAAAGCTATGCTGATTCAAAGTCCAATTTTAACTAATAGAATACTAGTAACAAAGTTTTCCCAAACTAAAAAATCAATCGGTACATATCCAATCGATTTAGTATAAGTTGCATAAGCAGTCCGAGAAAAAATTATTGTAGGGAAAAGTATTGACAGGATGTTTGACCGTTTTAAGTGTTAATTTCTGGATAGCGATATATCATGTTTAGTTATGTATTTTTAGAATTTAAAAAAAATTGAATCGATGTTAGTACCGATAAAGACACTATTCAAAGGTATTATTATCTGTTAAATTGAGAACATATAAGAATACGTGTATTCAAAGGATCATTCATTCTACATGGATCGTATCCAAATTTAAGAGCTCTATTAACAACCTCGCCGTAAACATAACGATGTGATATCCGGTTTTGAATTATATTTCTACAAGCACAGGCTAGTTTTCAAACCAAATTTTTGTATCTTTGAAAGGATTTAATTTTTTTTAATTTATTTATGGCAACAAAATCCCCGACATAGGAAATTCCAATCATACATAGATTACGTTCAATGAAATCTTGAACGTCACTACCGAAACGAGCATAAACCAAAGTATTTAAGCATATTTTGAGGTGAAACTAGCTTGACCATCCGATTCAAGTCCTTCAATGTTAAAATATGTTTCAGTGACTCTACAGAGTATGGTATGGTAGCTATCTTGGCGTATCTTTGAACAGTATAGGTTCACATAAGTTTCATATAATCTCAGTCTTCACTCAACATTGTATAAATATTCAGTGAAAAACATTTTATTGCGGACATATACTTGTTTCTTCTTGAATTGTCGAGTTTTTGTGCTTTTGGAAACCTCATAAAAACTATTCCATGATCTACAATATAAATATTAGGCAGACGATACCAAAGGGACAGTCGCAGAAACATCATGGCAAAAAAACGACGAAAAACGAACAACAGTCTATAAAACACTAAATAGAAAACTAGATTGAGCAACACGAAATCACCAAAAATCGGGGTGATCCCAGGAGCTCCGAAATGGTAAAGGCAGATCCTGCTCCACATGACTTCCACAGTATTTATTTTAATCTTAAAACAATTATTAAGATCCTCCTAAAAAGTAAAATAACAAAAATACAGAACTCCATTGAGAATTCAAATCGGAAAGTCCTTATCAAATGGCAAAAAATCAAAAGCTCAAACACATCAAACGAATGGAAGACAACTATCATATTCCTGACTTAATTGGCACTAAATTACAGTCTGAAGAAAGTAGCTATCGTTACATGATCAGGACCCCGGTAGTAAAATACGCCATCACAAATCAGCACATTCCTTGTTCATAATTTCTCAGTCTGGTAACTTACGTTCATGTTAACAGTTGATTTTCTCGAAAACGAATATAAGCTGCCTCAACAACTTCATTCAAATATATAAACGACAGAGTTATCTCTCTTGAGGTTGTAGACTGGCTCTCTGCTTTGTTAGTTTGAAGAACATAATAGTTAATCATTGATTAAGAATATTGATATATATGTAGCTTATTCAGAAACCAATCTTAGATACTTACATCTTTCAGCACAGTATTTTTTTGCATCTATTCCGAATAACCCAAATTATACAGGAACAACGCCATTCTTTCTATAAACGTTTTGAAATCTTGATGTGATTTTAGGTTGAGAATGGTCAACTTGAAATTGTTTCGTATTTTCTTGCACTAACGATTCAGATTTCAAAAGTCAGTCAATATACGATCAGACTAATTTAGTAGTCAAAAGTTTCAACATTCTAATCACTACTAAAAGAAACTACTGAGAGTTTACATCCAAATAAACATTGACATTATTCTACATTTATCACTGAAGAAACTAAATTGAATTGTCGAAATGTGCTTCTGGTGCATCAAAATTTGTACCGTTTATGCTATTGCTACTATTGGGTCGAAACTTGATTAAAATTTGCTGTTATAATTTTTTTTCTATATATTATTCAAATTAATGAATATATCTTCATCATGCAAAGCTCTGATTCCTGGTCCGGACTTGGCTATACTGTAGGTCCTTTTCGGTTTGATGAGCTCTTCAACATTTGTATTAGATTTTGGATATTCAAATATGTTTGCCTCGAGAATCACTGAAGTGATAGTAATAGACGAAATGCGCATCTGGTGCACTAAAACTGGGTACCGTTTATGTTATTATCCTTCCATTCTTCTCTTTTAGTAAAAGTAATTCGAAATCAATTGTTCATGACTTGCGATCAACTTTAGTCGTAAGATTTTTTTGTGAAACTGATCACAGGCTTTTCTAACTATAGTTGCAGTTTCCCCCGTCTTTTGCTATTTAATTGACATATTTATTTAAAATGAAGATTTAGATATCCACGCTCAAGTTCCTGACTTGAGTAGAAAATATAGAGTTCGACTTCTTTCATCCTTTTTTTCATTGTTCGGTGTCCAAAGAGCTCCATCCAAACAAACTTCTTGTTTATGCATATGCATTGAAAGATATCATGTTGGTCAACTCTCAGTACCGGCCGGGAGAGCTCAATTTAATAAAAAGGTATGAAACATTTTTTCTAAGAAATACTTATGTTTCCAAATAACATTCATCATGCAGTTACGTCCATGACCGCGTTCGGAAGAAATAGTCCCGTATCCATTAGATATTTGAAGGCATACTTTATATCAACCGAGAAAACGTAGGAAATTACGTTTATTTCAGAAGCATCATCTGCCCGGGAAAAAGATCGTAATAAAAATCCATATAAAGATAGCTATGTTTCATAACGTTGCAATTTTATAGTTCAAGTACAGTTTCACTATTCATGGCCTGAAAATTACAATTAGACCCAAATCACTGGCTATTGACCAAATGGTACCCTCGGGAAATGACAATTTAACAGCAATTCGGTGGTATAGTAATATAAACGAATTTATGAAACCGATTTCAGTAATGGCATCATTTTTTACTATGTACGATCAACACTATCCAAATGCGAAGAAAAAAATGAAAACAACACGTTATAAATTTCATGCGTCCGAAGTGCTTTTCTGGATTAACCTTCACCAGGAACGTTCAAAACCGAATACTGGTATTTGAAAGTCAAGAATATATAAGAACCGAAACAATGGTCATTGGAAGAGCTAAATGACTAAAAAGGACCTAAACAAAATCCAATTCCATCTAAGGTCAACTTTGCCTGAGGTAATTAAACCTAAGTTTCTTAATAATTCATAAATTTATAAATGGACACTTTCGCAACAGTTTGTTATAAATCATGTCACTACCGAAGTACTGACTACTGACCTGATGATAACCTCGAGGTCTAATAATCCACTATCAGAGTAGAGTGTTAGAAAACATCGATACAAAAACCCGCTAAACAAAACAAACAAATCTGAGTGATACATTTTGGTGTATTTTCAAAAGTTAACCGAAAAATACAAGTTTAAAATTTAAAGGCAAGTGTTTCTTGGAAAATAATTACATATTAATATTGGAATCATTGATTGATTGATTGTTGCTTAACTATCGTCCAGTTGCAATTATTTTAAATATATGTTAAGTCTCAGTAGCTCAGTACTTCGGTACTGGCATGACAATATTGTTTGTTGACATTTTGCTGTAGTAAAACCTAGATAATCATTTGAAATTGAGAAACGTATCTCTTTGGGAGTTTATTAGTTTTTTTTGCAAGAGTTTCTAATAATCAGGAAGGTTCATTTAGCTGTACGGGATGTAGAAATACAGTGACACGTCCGTTCTGTATTAAGAGAAGTAAACTCCAATCCACTGATAAATCAGATATGTAGTTGATTGTAATACAAGTGGGGGTTCAATCAATCGCTTTCCTTTGAGAAGTGTTTTACTAAGTCAAGAACAATATAGCCAATCATCCAATAATACTGGTTTAAAGATATATATTTTTGTTATTCCATATTCGGATTTTACCCAGTCAAGAACAATATAGGTAATCATTCAATAATAATGGTTTGAAGATATATATTTTTGTTATTCCATATTCGGATTGGGAACCAAATGAGTTAAATCTTGGTTGTCACCAGTTCGAGGCTGTAAATGATATTGATCAACCAAAGTGGATTAATTGAAGTTTTTTTTCTGCTTCGCTGGATATGACGACAAAACGTTAAGGAACTGTAGACAATTAGTGCGAACATACATGGCAGGCTGACTGTGTTAACAAGTAAAATGTTTAAGAGAAAATTGAAAATTTATAGTAAAAAAAACAGGTCAATCATGGATTTTTTTATCACGTACAAATGATATTGATTCCTGCTTCTCTGTTCACCAGAGAGGAATGCATTGATTTCAACCGTTAGAAAATTTATACCCTGTGGTTTTAATCTTTGTCTAAATAACCATTTTCTTTCAATTTAGCTTTCTTGAAGGGAAAAAGCAATTTGCTGGAGATTTTATTTAACAGGTGTGTTCCTTTTAGATTTTAAGCTTTCTCGTTAATTTTGCCACAAGACACCTGTAAAGTCAATATGGTGTAATAATGTGTAATGTGATTGCATATTCGTTGTTATATGCTAAGAATAATTAGTCCCTAAATGGTTTCCAATAACATGAATATAAAAAAAACAATGCGGGCAATGACACTTGTTGATCGGTACGAAAATAATACGGGAAAGATGAAATTGGTTTTTTATATGGAGGAAAGAAATTATTACAGCAAAATTAATATGAGGTTATTTATAAGAGTATAAATAAGTTCGTGAAATTAGGGTCAATCATTTTTGTATAAGTAAAAGGAGATCTGCGGTAATAACCGTAATTGCCAGGCATTTATCAATTCGAATTTTATCATGGTGTCAGCTGCTGGAGCCAAATAAGATTAAGACAAAAACCAAAGAGGTTAATAAGCCGAAGCTAAAACATGAAGTACAATTCAAAATAATTACAATAAATAAGGTGATCTCTTGAAATCAAAATCTCGGAGTTGCTATGGTATTTGACTATTCTATTTTATATTTAGAAGAAACGTTACGTTAAAAAAATTGTATTTTTACGTTAGACAACTTGATGAAAATGAATAAGAATAATCGAGGAGAAACTTGAAAAGTTCCGGTTTAGTTGCATAGCAGAATAACCTTAATAGATAGTAAGCAAGGGCGGATCATGGAATTTTGAAAAGGGAGGGGCGTAAATCCTGAAAAAAAAACATGCTAAAATATCATATAAATCTTGAGAACAGGATTTTTTTTAATTGTTTTTGCGACCAAAGAGGGGACATACGCCATCTAGCCCTATCCCGGATCCGCCATTGGTAAGGCTTGGCAAGAAAGTTTGTCGATTGGTACATTTCCTGTTTAAATATTATAAATATTGGTTAGAAAAATCTACAACTAGTTTTGAATATGTCATGTCACAGCAAACTTAAAGCCTAGATTGGTGAAATATTTATGTAGATGCATTACATTTGCGCGCATGCATTACATTACAAAGATGTCACAAACAGGTTCAAACAATGGACAGGTACCCATATGTTATGATCAGCTCCAAATCGTCCCAATCGTAGTAATGGACTCGATTTTGTTTTCGTCTCTGTTGCATTTAGTCGGGAAGCACATGTCCAATAATATATTCCTGAAAAATAAAAGCCATCGTTAACAGATTTCTATCCAGAAACCAACATTTTGAAGTGTTTCTCATCATGTATAGCTGTCTATCATTTTGTAACTATGACATTGACCTAATTGACATATCGATAATTTTGTTTACAATTCTTTTACTATCTAATATTTATTCAAATAAGGGTACCTCAAGTAATTACCAAGGAACAATAAACCGAACGTCTTATTTATCATATTTTCATTTTATTCTAAGCATATTTGACATTGACCACGACCTTCCATTATTGTCCTCTTCAATTCATTCAAACTTATCAATCCGGAATTCAATTCCCAACAAAATTGTTTTTTTTTTTATATAAGTGACATTTACTGACTTACTGAAACAAAAACATCAATAGGCTGCTTCCGTTCCTTTACTTTACCTTCCACCTAGATATATTTCACTCCAATCCACCAAAAGGGGACCATTTGTTTAGGACGGACGGACAAACGGACGGAAGAAAAGAAAAATCGGGAGCATAATGAACAGAATGATTTAAAGATAAAAGATAAATGAATGGTTTCCAGTTATATTCATTAAGAAGACAATTGTTGCTGCTTTTTTTTCGATCAATCGTGTCCGACCATATCTGCAGTTTCATAAATAAATATTTTCATTTCAATTTTTTATTTTTCCGTATCATATCGATAAAGGAACAGTTTTTAGCTGTCAACATTACACCTTTTCACTGACAGCAACATTCGAAGGCGACACATGGTTTTATGAATTCTATTTAAACAAGCTATTTTAGTCTATTTGTGTTCTATAAAATGCGCCACTCTCACTATTACGCAACAGTAATACATGTGCATCGCATACACAAATAATAATTAATCTAAGGTTTATTCGCCACCAATATTATATTTGTTAATAGAATGTTGATGTTATACTTCAGTAACTCCACACATTGATGAAGATAGATCAAATGGAAACCAGCCGACATTAGTAAATATGAACTTGTTTTTACACTTCTTAGTGTAATGGTCAATACCTTGTTAAACATGGTCTTTCATATAACTTAATGAGAAAAACCGAGTAAAACTTATTTTTACATCCAAGTGAAAATATTTTGTACCAAAAGAAAATGTGTATCTGCAAAAAAAAATATCTAAAAATACTTATCTTGTACTAATGCTACATCTGTCATGAAGCTATGCATATGTGACAGGTACTGTCGAGTATTTCACAGTACGATATATTTTTTTTGTGTATGTACTTGATGTGGTATTAGTGGATAGACACGATATTCTTAAAATAATAATGCAGTGAGATAAAATGACGGAAGAATTTAAAAAAAAAAAAAAAAAAAAAAAAAAAAACAGCAACCTTAAAATACAAAACAAGCAAACAAAGAGACATCTAGAATTTTTGGATGCAACAGTTGCATTATTGCAGATTTCAAATTATAAAATCACCTAGTATAGCCACAATTGATCATCTTTTCTTGTCGACCTTTTCGGAATAGACCAAATTTTGCTCAAGCCTCTTTTATTACACTGACAGACAGCAGTAAGATACGAACTTTAGCTGTTAGTCTGAACGTAGTAGTTGAGGAAATACTAGAACAATTGCAGCAGCAAAAGGAATGGGAGCTAACACCTGAACGAAAAGCATTCTTAAAAATTAACTCTAGGTATATCTAACCGGTTAAAAATTGATTCTCTATAACTGGTTACCAAGCAAGCGAAATTATCTGCAATATAGTTCGATCAACCTGTTTCAGCGTAAATTTCAGTTTTGCTTTTTCCTGTTATTATAACTTTAAATGTATGCCGTGTTCTTAGAACTATATTTGTTTTTAGCTGTATAATTTTACATTTTTTATAGCTAAAAGCTTGCATTGAATGCCATTAATATTGAGTTAGCAAATATACTAATAAATCCTCCTATTTTTTTTCCAAGCTCCCAAGACTACTAAGCACGGAATCGAAGATCAAACAAGATAAACAAGCCGAGGTGGAGTATCGCGAATATTAACAGACGACTAAAGCCTAACGACTTGTTTGCATGCTATACGTACCAGGCTAGGTTTAAAGTCATTATAATTTAGCATTTGTCAACTTAACACTTGTTCTTCGATCATATCAATATAAGTCATAACTTAGAAAATTGATAGTATTTCTTTGTCAACGCTAACCTTAAAGACATTCATTAAAACCGCAAAAAAATAATTTCTCTTAGACAGTTTATCTCAATAACGGAGTATGAAGAGGAATTTTAAATAAGAACGAAACTAATCGAGTTGGGTGTGTATGGGGAAAATGGATATTGATCCATTCCTTGATTGACAAAAAACCGATGCAATGTCGCGATAAAGTAAGGACAACGTTAAAGGTGTTTCTTCGAGTAAGACATTGTTAACAATTACAAGAAGAAAATTGTTCCGTAAATCGTTACATCAATAGAGAACAGTGATTAAGGGGAAATGTTATGATTGGATGATGTCAGTTTGGAAACATGATACAATTGCAGACGAACCCTCAATCAAATATACGGCTGCTCTAAATCAGAGACGAATAAAGGTGATGCACTGAAATAGATAACCGAATGTCAATCGTACAAAATAAAATTGATTGGATTTACATAAAATAATGATGTTTTATCGCTAAATATACAATTTTAATTGATGGTTGAGAGAAAAATTAACATAGAGACTATCATATCATTCCAAAATCGTGAATTTATTATACATAGCATAATTTTTCACTGGATCAGAAAACGTAGTAGCTATGGTAAGTTAATTTATGATTTTAATTGATATGCATATCTTGTGTCAAAATTGATTAACATGATTAAATTATTACAATGCTTACTAATTTCTGTCACCCTGCATCCTATTATGATCACTAGTAAAGCTATTTTAAGAATATATTTATATCTACTATTTTAAGCGATGCTATTTGTGAATAGCAATCAGAAAAAAAAAACAATTCTTTCTGTTTGATTTCAGGGTCTTTGTTTATTTTTTTGCAATGTTTTTGTGTCTTTTTGTAGTAAAGTAGTTAGTATCACGGAGATGCAAACTATTAAAGTATTTTATGGTTTATTGAGGGTCTTTACCTCTTTTTTATTTTGCTGTTAGGCGTTGGAAAAATCCCGATAACAATATAGGAAATAAGTATCCTTAAAACTATAATTTTAACAATTCCCTCGAAAATTGGTATTTTTGTATTCTTTGTGAAAAAAGGGTGGTGGTGGTGGTAGATGTTTATGAAATGAAACAGCATTCCCAAATATATTTGGAACCACTGATTTCTTACATAATTCCTTAGGTATTTTTATATTTTTGTATTCTTTGAGAAACAGGTAGTGTGATTGGTAGATGTATATGAGACGGCATTCCCATGTAAATTTGGAACCACATATCAAAGAAACAGAGCTTTTATTGATGTTCTTCATCATGCCTGTTAATTCAGTGAGGGTCTTTAGCGGTGAGCTAAAGGTACCACACATTGACTGGCCATGCATGAACATACGTGTAAGCGATTACCTTTGTTTTACCGATAACCTCTGTTAATGTTGAAGTAGTTTGGACTACTACTAGGAGATGTTTAACGACCTTGACTACCCACGAGGATCTCGCACGGTCGGTATAATTTGATCGTGTATAATCTTCAAAAGTTAAAATTAATTCTTGTCTACTCTGTGTTAGTACCTGTCAATGAACTTTTCAGGTAAAACAGTTTTTGGACAAACCACTGACTCATTAACCTAGTTGCTAGTAAAACTTCAAAATGATAACGTATCACAATTCTCAATCTGAGTATATTAACTGCAAGATGTTGCATGCATATCGTATCAGCTGAGAAATATACACTTAATAAACAAGAATAGAAGTATTTATTTACAAAGATGAAAAAATTAATGATTCGAAAGTTGAAACAATCTAGTGTGTCATATATTCCTTTATTTAAATGACAAAATTAAAAAAATATCGACGTATAGGTCTCTAATTGTGGCATGGTAGCTGTAACTGTTGTTTCCTTAATTTCGAGAATGTGGGATTTTTGATTGGCCGGGAGAACATTATGTTAATCATTTAACGAAGATGTGCGTGAAATTTAAAGCACTAAACTTTTTTCTCTCTTCTTTTCCTTTCTCAAACCTCTTATAAATTTGAAACAAATAGCCGAATCCCTTGCACATGCATGCTGCAAATCTGCTTCAAACGTGGCAAAATATTATCGAGGAGAAAGCCCTTTTACTTCCATTTTCAAAATCGAATAGAAAGTGACTCTATATGTGCGAACTCAAAATCAGACTCGTGCCCTTACTCGATATATAGGGTGAGAACATTAATAACCCGAGACTGGAACTTTGACTTGAGAAAAACATGGTATCAAACTCGAATTTCAACAAGAACTAAACATTGAGATAAAGTATCTTAATCTAGACTTTAACCTGATGTTCAGACGCAATTTAAAGAATGAACCCTACGGATATTCTGTTACGCTCTCTTCATTATACATGAAGAAAAGAAGAAAGCAAATGCTAATTTTTAGACTACTAGTAAATGGACAATATTGGTGCCCATGACTCCTTTTTAGAATTTTGTCGTAAATATATTAGTCAAAACAAATTGTTCATTCACTTTGAAGATGCCAAGAAGAAGAGATGGATGAGGGTACCCCTACGAGTTGCGCATGAAACTGGAATTATGCGGGTTGTCAATCATCCAAAGATCACTTCTTGACACTTAAGCTCTTGTATGCAATTAGATACAATATATCAAATGTATCTATTTTGAGTTCTATATTTCAAACACGATTATGGCTTGTTGGCGATAGTTTATATTCTTTCTTTCCACTTTTGGGGACCAATGAATACGACGAATTTTTGGGTTGCATGATTCTTTTCAGTATATTAAGTTAATAGATTGAATGGAGTCCCGTTTTGTAAAAGATTCATTGTCATTTGAAAGAAAATGACTGGATATAGATTCATCTTGCATTTGTTTCGCTATTTACTTGTTGTTGTCAATAAATCTTACAATAATACTAGTTTAAGTCGTCATGTATATACAAATTCTTTAAGCAGATTTTTATCAAAGAAACATACAGACGTCTGAGTGATAGTTTAAAAGAACGGACGAAAACAAAAATTTTGACCAGTTTACAACCATTTCCATCAGCCTGGTAATAGTGTGATATCCTCTATACAGACGATATTTTGAAGCACAGATAGCTAACAGTTTTGTTTTTTTTTTGTTCATTTTGGACTCTGTAAGACCTCGCTGCATGAACGTTAAAAAATCGTGATTTTTCTTTTACTATTCATGAAGCGTGCGGCTTGTGATAGATAATACATTACCCATATCTTTGATTGATATCACTTACTTATTCACGTCTATATTATACATACAATATGTGTTAATAGCTGATTAGAATCCGTATAGTATTTCAACTGATTTCGGCCAATTAATGCATTACCCTATTTCTTTCCGGGGTGATAATTATTTGGCTACTGAATTGTTTACATATTATGCATCCAATAACGATCCAGATCTTTGTTTTACCCATGGGCATTACGTTAGCTAAAGCGTTGATGAGCTTCAGGTGAAGAGTACAAGAAGGGCAATTCCTTTGATATCTGTGTTTTTCCCCAAAAGCGTATATATATACTCAGCTTATTCATATACATTTGTAGTTGGGAAATAAAAAAAACATATATATTTTTTTCAAAATTTGTAAATATATACGAAGACTATTTTAGAATTAATATTGCAATTATGAAATGGTTGAAATTGGTCGTACCAGTAATTATCCGAATAAAATGCAAATTAAGCGCAAATAAAAAGGTGAACACATTGAATAAATATGAAATTTTAGTATAGTATTTCTCATGACAAAATTTTTATATTTTAAATTCATGTAACCTCAAAGAACTTACATATTGATAATCATACTGTGGCATAAATAATTAATTCAAGTTCAATGATTCTTGTATTCAGATATCAAAGGTTTGTTTCTTAATTTCATTTGAATCGTACACAAGAAATGAATGTCAATTCATTTTTTAAAGATTTGTATGTCAAGGTTTAAATTATTATCAACTGAGTGCATCACGTCTAGCATGCATAAACATGAAATATGTCAAATAAATTTCATAGTTAATTCAAAGTTATCGAACTTTTGAATGAGAAAATGAAATGCCTCGAAGCAATGTAGTTAAACATGGTAAAAGAGAAAAAGAAAAACAAATTTGCATGTGGAAATATTATCCCCAGTAATTTACATACCCTATCGATATTCGAAATATCTATGTTTTGATGCGGGAACCTTAAAATTCATTATAACTACAAAAGTGTACAACAGTCACATGCTGAAGATTATCAAATTTTCATTGAAATCCTGTCAACGGTCAAAGAGGAGTAGTGGATAACAGATGCTATGTCTTAATTGTTATGGAAACCGTAAAATCATTTGGACCGCAAAAGAAATAGTTCATAAGTAGTGCTGATAGATTGTGTACATAAGTACTGATAGATCGTATACATAAGTACTGTACATAAGTACTGTACATAAGTACTGATAGATCGTGTATATGCAATGTAAGTACTGATAGATCGTGTACATAAGTACTGTACATAAGTAATGATAGATTGTGTACATACGTACTGATAGATCGTGTACATACTATGTAAGTACTGATAGATCGTATACATACTGCATATATGTAAGTACTTGATTGTGTACATAAATATTGATAGATTGTATACATACGTACGGAACGGTTTGTGTACACATGTACTTATAGATTGTGTACACATGTACTGATAGATTGTGTACATACGTACTATAAGATTGTGTACACAAGTACTGATAGATTGTGTACATAAGTACTGTACATAATAACTGATTGATAGTGTACATAAGTACTGGTAGATCGTGTACATACGTGCTAACAGATAATGTACATAAGTACTGTACATAATAACTGTTTGATAGTGTACATAAGTACTGACAGATCGTTTACATACGTATTGATAGATCGTGTTATTATGTACTGATAGATCATGTACACAAATACTGATAAATTGTGTGAAAATTTAAAGAAATCTACTCACCGGTTTAGGGAGAGTTTTAGAATCGCCGACGAAGATTGAACTTGAAAACCAAAGGATGAACAATAATTGTATACTCCGCTTCAAGTTCAATACGACAAGGGTGCAAATATCGTCATCAATTAAATAGATATGAAAAAGACGAGACTTGTATTATCACTCAGCAGGCTTTCGTATAACGTATGGCTAGTGAGTGCTTTGATATATATTGAATACAACTCATCCTGCACTTACAATCCTGTGCTGTTTGGTACATATATATGTTTACTTATACACATTTGAAATTTAAGATTGGTTACAATTTGGGACAAATTTCGTACGGAACAATAAAGTTTATAAGCAGAGGTATTGCAGTTGATATGAGTCGCGGATTTAATCAAAATGTTTGTATCTTAGGAGCTCTTTAAATAGTTCAGGATCTCCATAATTCGAATTCAAAGTATCCATAGATCAGTGGGGCCCTCCCGAAATTTTTCAGGATCTTTATAATTCAATTTTGTAGACATAATCTTACAGTTTATCATTTTGTGTTGAAATCTTTATAAGATGACGTATTTTTTCTTTGAAATTCTGAAAAGAAATGAAAATGGGCAGCTGAAAAAAATGCCCCCCCCCCACTACAATAATAAAGTTTACATATTATCATGCATTCCTATTTTGAATTTTTATGGATTTTGATTTTGTTAAGAATGTCCTTCTTATTCATTTTTCGAAACATACTCAAAATTTACCGAAATCTTTTAACTTGCATTTTTTAAGCCGTGTTTAAACATTTATATTTTA